CATCATGCTTGGGAGGGTGGAGGGATGGCGCAGGAGGGGAAGACCCTCTATGAGATGGATTGATTCGGTGACTGGGGTAGTCGGGATGGGTGTGTCAGAGGCGGTGCGGTTGGCGCAGTATAGAGCAGGGTTTAGAGCTGTTGTGCATAGGGTTGCTATGAGTTGGAAACGACTCGATGGCACATAACAACAACAATATTACTATGTTGCAGTAAAACTTTATTTACAAAAAGAAGTTAAAAGCAGTCTATGGGCTAGAATTTGCCACCCCCTATGGGTAGAGTTTAAAAGTCTGGATCTCTTTAGGCAGGTTTATAGTTATAAGTTTTTCACAGGCTATGAAAACAGGCCTGGTGGTTTCCTTCTAGAACTTCGGCCACTGAAAACCCTGGAGCACATAGTTCTCCTCTGACACACAGGTGGTCACTATGCCAGACATGATCTGAGAGTAAATGCTTTCCCCAGACTGTCTCCACGTTCTGTCCCACACACCCATTAATTCTTAGCTTTGGGTTATTACCACATACAGGTAATGATACTAATAATCACAGGAGTAATTAAGACTTTATTTATGCCTGGCACTGCTCTAACCACCACATGAAAATGAGGAAAAGAGAAATGAAGTAACTTCAAGACCAGGCAGCAGGTGGCAGGACCAGGCTGTGACCGAGCTAAGCTCGCTCACTCTGGTGCTATCAAACCTTTGAGAGAATGTCCTGAGTTCATGAAAAACTTTACAGTGCTGCTTTTCACCTTTTGAAGCCTCCCCTGGCAAAGAATACTGGAATAATGTAATAAAACGGAGAAAAGACAGGAGATTTTGGGTACTTCCACAAGCCTCCCAAATCAACTCTTGAAGAGTGATTTCAACTCAGAGACCACACAGCACAGAGCAGAATTGCCCCACAGGGCTGCCAAAGCTGTAAACCATCATCAAAGCCCCGGCCACAGTTTTCTTTCTGGGAGTGGCTGGTGGGTTTGAATCACCAACACTTAGTGCACATCAGAGGTCCTTGGAGTGTTAGGCAAAACTGATGTGGACATAATGCCTCTCAGTTCTTGAGGACCCTTGAGAAACACACCATCTGTAGAGGATGAGGTCACCTGTGCAGGAAATACCTCAGAATGTGGAGAGATTTCCAGAATCTGTATCACTTGGCTCAAGATTGGTAATACATTTGGAATCTGGAATAATACCCAGAGCTAACCTTTCAATGGTACAGTGACAGTATTATTTACAAAAGAAAAAAAAAATCAAACCCAAAACACCAAGAAAGAAAACAGGCCATAAGAGGTTTCATAAAAGCTTTGCTTTTCTAGGGAAACAAAGAGTGCCAGAGATACCTAGAAGGCAGCATTATTTGTGTTCCAAAGCAGAAGTGATACTATGTTAAGGTCCCAACTTTGAAGAATGTGAGCTATTGCTCAGAGGTGCAGTCCGGGCGAAGGGAGCTGCAGCTCAACCCCAAGAACCAGAGTCTGCCTAGAACCAACGCTGGATCCACTCATTTCACATTCAGAACCAACACCGGATCTACTCACTTCATATCTAGAACCAACGCCAAATGCATTCACTTCACAACTAGAACCAACACCGGATCCACTCACTTCACAACTAGAACCAACACCGGATCCACTCACTTCACAACTAGAACCAACGCTGGATTCTCTCACTTCACATCTAGAACCAACACTGGATTTTCTCACTTCACATTCAGAACCAGTGCCAGATCCACTCACTTTACATCCAGAACCAACACCAGATCCTTTCACTTCACATGTAGAACCAACACCAGATCCACTCACTTCACAACTAGAACCAATGTCAGATCCCTTTACTCCACACCCAGAACCAACACCAGATACACTCACTTCACATCTAGAACCAACACTGGATTCTCTCACTTCACATCTAGAACCAACATCAGATCCACTCACTTCACCATCCAGAACCAACGTTGGATACACTAACTTCACAATTAGAACTAATGCAGGATCCTATTACTTCACATCCAGAAAGAAAGCTGGATCCACTCATCACATCCACACTGAGGAGAAGTCACTTCTTCACCTTTCTCATCGAAGTTTGGTAGAAAGTCAGCCAAACAGTGTTAACACAGGGCAGATTCTGACACAGGGTGTAAAGATCCATAAATTCAGGGGGAAATCTGAAGTAACCATTTATAATCCAGACTGATTCCTTTTACTAAATAGGGGAAAGTATGCAATAGCATGCAGTGCAAATAAATCTCATTTCCCAGTGGAGGGTTTTTCAATCTAAGCACTATTGACTCTGGGGCGAGTGCCCTGTGGCATGTCTCTCCTGTATCCTGTGTGAAGCTTCACAGCATCCTTCGCTTCCACCCACTAGAGACCAGTAGCAACCCTTTCCCAGATTGTGACAATCAGAAATGTCCCTAAACAGTGCAAAATATCCCGTAGGGGTCAAAATTACCCTCTCTTGGTAACCCTAGAATACACTAAAACAGAATCCTAGCTACTGATGGTCAAACACAGCTCTCTGGAATGAAATCAGCTTCCCTAGAAATAGGCCGATTTCAAAGTCCTTTCAGTAAAGCTGGACTCTCCATACCAGAGGGCAGGGAGAGTAGAGTACTCCCTCTTCTAAACACGTTATCAGAAAACCAAGAGTAGAAAATGCTTTCTAACATCACTCAGCCTTTCCCAGTTGGTAACTTCCTAATAAGGCAGAGTATCATGAGGCCATTTTTTATCATTCTGGAAAGTTATGGGCTCTTGTATTTGTTGTTGTTGTAGATTGGCTTCAAGCAGCGAGCCTATTAATAAAAGGCCTGAAGCCTTTCTATAACTATGGACGTTTACCAAAGTTCACAGTTTCCAGAGGCATGCTCTTTAGGAAGTAGATGCCACTCCTGCTTCCAATCTTATATTTAGGCACAGTTTTTATGTTCCAGAGACTTTAAAGCCTTTAAAAACACTTCCTCAACAACAATAAAAACAAGAAAACAATCCCACAAAGCCTCTGTAAGATAGCATCTGCAAATTAAGGCAGACTTTCCACAGAAAAAGAACTGCGGAGCTTGCCAGCAGGTCCCACCTGTCCTTCTCTGTTTCTGCTATTCCTCCCTCATAGCACTGTAGATAATGACAGCGGACAGGCAAAAGCGGCCTCCTAGGCTCAGCAGCCCTATCAGAAAACCTGGTTCAGTCAGTCTGTGGCCCAGAGTTTTTGCCAAACTACCACTAGGCATTGCCCTCTGTGAATTAGCTGACAACTGTGGGCTGTGCTGACCACGGACCATGGTTACAGACCACAGCCAAAAGCATGCGAAGGTCATAGCTTTCCCCCAGTCAAAGGAGGCTGCCCACCTACGCAATTTCCCACAGAATAGAGGAAAAGATCCATGTGCAATTATGCAGGGCTTGGTTTCAGAAAGGTATCAACTCCCAGAAGTCAGTACAAGTGACATTTTGGGTCAGGTCCAAAATGCAAAGAGTGAGGTGTGTCTGTGAGGCAGATAACTGCACGGATGAGCAGACCCTGCCTTTATTAGATAATCAAATGCAGAGAAACCAAATCCTCACACACTCTTGTTTACTTCTAAGCAGATCCCATTAAGCCCTGGGCACTTGGCTTGATTACTCCCTGGATCAAAGTTAAATTAAATTACCCAGCAAGCTTCTTTTCAGTGAGAGAGGCGTGCGCCGACCGACTCACCTTCCAAAAGCTATCCACTTTGCCATACACCAGGGACTGGTTCTGCCTTTTGATCTCGTTGATGTGGTAAATGTCACTGGAGTTCAGATGCTGCTCTACCACGAACCCCAGGAAGCTGTTGTCTGGAGTATGAGCTGAAATGGAAAAGAAGGTAGAGGAGAGTCAGGGCTTAGCTGGCGAGAATAAATGACAGCAACAACAATGGGATAAAGATCATCAAGCAAGTGAGCCAGAGTTTTTATTTCCCCTGGGAAAGTGAGGGGCTACCCTGTCCCAAACAGCCCTGACAAAGTGTCACCAGATGGCAGCTCTTCAAAATGTATTAACTTGAACGGAAATATTTTTTTTCTTAGCATAAAACATATCTATAAGTCATTACACATCACATATCCTCCTTGTTTTCTCAGCACAAGGTTCCCGGCTCATCACAGAAACAGCCTCATCTGGGGCTCTACCCCAATGGGCTCAGGTTTGCAGAGGAGATGCTGAATCGGCCACTGTGTGTTTGCATAGATGCTACTGGCTGTCACGGGACCCGAACACAGTCACAGCCACATGGCAGGCCTCTGCATCACTAGACGTCAAAGGGATGGGTAGGAAGGGACAGGGGCCTGTAAGTAACACTCTGACATTCTACCTTCTCAGAAGAATTACTCATTGATGAAAGACGCAACCATGTGGGTCTACTCAAAGACGAGGTGCCAAGGCTTCACTCTGGTCTGGTACACAAACAGGACAGGATGAGTAGGGGCCACCTTGATGGTAGCTAACAACAACTGAGCAGGAGGAAAACATGAACACAGTATAGAGGGGAAGATGGCTGGGAAATGCATCACACCCAAATGCCAACCACAATAAAGCGAAACAAGCCGATCAGTTCCCACTGAGGTGAGAACTCACAGCAGCCCCGTGTACCAGAAGAACTAGATTCTACGTTTTCAAGATCGTGACCTATCAGAAGCTGGTAACCTGACCTGTCCTCACAGGCACCTTTGGGTGGGGGTGACTGGCAAGCCTTCAGTTAGTTGTTTGTTGTCAGATGCAAACAAGTCCACTCTATCTGACAGTGGCCCTGTGAAGGGCCGACAGACCTTGCCCTGTCCCGCATCGTCTGCACCATCTTTACCAGCTTGAGACAAAGTTACAGTCACTGTGTCAGTCACCTCATGGACACGCTTCCTCTCTCCACTAAGGGCTCTGTCAACAGAACAGAGAAGACTATTCAGGAAGAGAACACTGCTCTCTCCTGGATTTCTCTATCAAGGAAGAGAAGAACCTTTCAAATCTTCTCCAAATGTTTGTATCTTGTGGCTATAATTTTAAAAAGAATTTCAACAACAGACAGCACTCAGAAAACAATTCTCTCCTGGTTAAGAAAAAACAAAACAAAACAAAATACCCACACTCTCCTCTCTCTAACATTCAAAGAGCCCTGGTGGTGTAACAGTTGGCTGCCAAGCAAAAAGTCAGTGGTACAAATCCACCAGCCATTCTACAAAACGATGATGTGGCAGTCTTGCATTGTAAGGATCTATGGCTTTGGAAATCCTATGGGGCAGTTTTATTCTGCCTTTGTTGTTAGATGCCATTGAGCTGAGAATGACTCATATTGTTGTTGTTATGTGCCATCGAGTCGCCTGTGACTCAGTACCCTAAGTACAACAGCTCTGAAGCCTGTCCTGTCCTGAGCCAGTCTCATTGACTCTGACACACCTACTCCCATTGCCCTAGTTATTATATCAATCTAGCTCATCTGGGGGTCTTCCTCTCTTGTGCTGTCACTTCTACACTTCTGAGCATGTCACTCTCCAAGGACTGATCGCTCCTGGTCACATAACCAAAGTATGTAAGACGGAGCTTCAAAATCTTAGTCTCCAAGGAGAAACTTGGTTAGACTCTCTTTAAGAGAGACCTATTTGTTTTCTTGGCAGTCCCTGGTATGTTCAAGACTCTTTTTCAGCACCATAACTCAAAGGCATCAATTCTTCTATCATCCTTGGTCATTATCCAGCTCTCTGATGCACAGCAAGAAATTGCAAAGACCATGGACTGGATCAGGCACACTTTAGTCTCTAGATTGACATCATTGCTTCTTAGTACTCTGGAAAGGACCATGAGAGCAGATTTACCTAATACAATTCACCTTCTGATTTCCTGACTGCTAGTGCCAAGAGCGTTGACTGTGGAGCCGAGCAAGCTGTGCTAACAATCTCTTCTCCATCCATCATGGTGCTGTCAATTGGCCCAGTGGTGAGAATCTTTGTCTTCTGATGTTGAGCAACCCTATCGAACAACAAATCTAAACCCTGTCCTATCCTGTACCAGCCTCATCATCTTTGACACCCTTGAGCCCCCTGCTGCAGTAACTCTGTCAATACATTTAGTTGGGAATCAACTTTTCCTCTTTCACCAACTCTCCACCTTTCCAAGCATGATGTCCTTTTCCAAGGAAGACTCTCCAAGATAGTATGTCCAAAATGTGTGAGATGAAGCTTCATTATCTTTGTCTCCAAGGCACAATATGACTGCACTTTCTCCATATATGGTTGTTCTTTTGGCAATCCATAAGATATTCAGTACTCTTCTCCAGCACCACAACTCAAAGGTATCAATTCTTCTGTCATTCTTATTCTTATTCATTGTCCTACTCTCAGATGCAGAGCAAATGACTGAAAATACCATGGCTTAAATCAGGCACACCTTGGTCTTCAAAATGTCATCACAGTTCTTCAGTTATTTGGAGAGGTCCCTGACAGGGGACTTTCCCAATGTAGTATGTTTCCTGATCTCCTGACTGCTGGTATCAAGAATGTTGACTATGGAACCAGATACATTAAATAGTCAAAAATTTTAGTATTTTCTCCATCTATTATGATGTTGCCTGTAAGTCCAGTAGTGAATAATTGTGTTGTTTTGATGGTAAAATGCAATCCATATTGAAGGCTGTATTCTTTGATATTCTGCAGCAAGTGATTCAAGTCTTCGTCACTTCCAGCAAGCAAGATTGTGCCATTTGCCTAACTCAGGTTACTGATGAATCTTCCCCTGATCCTGATGACACTTTTTTTTTACAGAGTCCAGCTTCTCAAATGATTTGCTCAGCTACAGACTGAATAGGTATGGACGGAGGACACAACCCTGATGCACACCTTTCTTAATTTTAAACCATGCAATGCTCTCTTGCTCTGTTTGAACAACAGCTTCTTAATGTAGGTATATGTTTCGTATAACTAAGTGTTCCAGGATTCCCATTATTCAATGTTAATCGTAACTTTTTATAATCAACACAGTCAGATTGGCTTGCATAGTGGTAAGGAGCAGCAATGCCCACATGAAGGCACAGAGTTCGAATCCACCAGAGCCTCCCTGGGAGAATGATAGGTGATCTCCTTCTGTGTGATTTAGTGCCTCTGAAAACCCTCCAGCTATAGTCTGATTCCTAGAGGGTTGCTATGAATTAGGACTTATTTGATGGCAGTGTGCTTGTTTGGGGTGGGGGTGAGGTATGGTGGCCCTACACATGCATTCTGCCCAGAGAAATCTCACAGATGTCCAGATGAGAACCCTGCAGAAACCCCATGTGGCCTGTATGAAACACAATGACTGTTCTGCTATACTCTGACTAGAATAGAATAGCCAACTACAAATAATGTAAAGCTAGATTCCTCTTGGTAATAGCTATCGTCAGTAAAAACCACATTGCAGCTTTAAGGCAATTCATTCACAGGGTGGTTAGATTGCATGTGTGTGTGACCAAATAGAGGGAGCTGACTCCTTCACCTTGTGGTGGCTTTCTGGGGGTATCGGAGCTCCTTCCCAGACAAGGAGGCTGGCACACAGTTCTCCAAGATGGATAGGGGACCTGAGCTCTGAGCTCTGACCACAGTACCCTGGGTAAATGGGCCCCAGCCACAAAGCTGTGAACTGCAGAAATGAAAGAGATGCAGCACCATGCTGTCACCATGCAGCGTCCCAGCCTTCTAATGGACGTGACAGAATGAGGAGATAATAGGGTTGTGACCAGGGAGTTGAGAGCCAATCTGTTATTTAATTTCTGTGCCTTTGAACAACTGCCCAGAGGCAATGGCTGGAGTCAGCTGAAAAGTAAATTACAGGCAGTCCCCGGGTTACAAATAACCCAGAATTCTGAAAAAGCCCCTGTAAAGCCTATTACATTAACAATTTGATGTATATACCACTGCTTGTAATATGAAATTGGCAGAACTTTTTTGGCACACATCAAAACATTATTACTACTATATTATTAGGTTAAAGACATTTTATTGTATCTGAAAATGTTTCTTTAATGTTTTCTATGCACAAAAAGGTACACTGATTGCATGCTAACAGAAGTGTGAGGCTAACTGATATTATTTATCTAAGAACTCTGCCTAATGGTGTTGACTTGTGTACAAATCCCTGAGAGTAAGTCCTCTTCACTGACCCGAGGACTACCTGCACCAACTAGCCCACCAGCAAGGACAACACTGTCTTTTATTTTTGCAAAAAATAGGGGAGTTGAGGGGAGGGGAGAGGAGTCCGCAGATGTACAAGCTAAACATGCTAGTAAAGTAAAATTAAACCAGGTGCCCCCAAGTCAGTTCAAACTCAATGCAACCAGACAGCTTCAAACCGCTCTTTGTAAAAACAGCCTGTTAACTGTAAAGATTTTGAAATATAACCTGATACATCAGGGACTATATTTTAAAACTGGTAGCATTTTTAAGACCAGGGTATTTTCATGGTAGCTTACACGCCATGATTTAGGTACTTGCCTCTGCAATTCCATTATCTATTCCCTGTGCGAGCTCTTTAAAAATCTGACATGTTTCAGTAGAAAAAATGCGGGGTGAGGGGAGGAGAGAAAATGAATAAGTCTTAAATGAATTTCATCTGGAGGCATTGGTGGTTCCTCAGACTCTAACCTTTCAATGGTTTGACCCATAAAATCTTCCCATTCCAATGACTCCAACTGTAAAAATCCCAGTCTGTTTCTGTTTCGCTTCCTCAGCCATAAGAGAACTAGTTCAAACCCCTGTGTTAAAGGGCAAGCTGAAGTTGTTCTGGTGGTGGATGCTTCAGCGTGGCAGGCTGCTAGCAGAAAGGTCTGTGGTTCAAATCTATCAGCTGCTCT